CAACTTGTAGAAAAAAGAATTATGATTACAATTGTAGAAAAATTATACGAAACGGGAATCGGGAAGGGCCTAATCGGAGACAGTTTTTGTTTTTTTTCGCGGTGGCTCTGCCGGACTTTACCTGCAGTTTTTGGCTTATCCACTGATCTTTTTGCTTCGATTTGGCCATGAGGGTGTTCAAAATTGAATTTCGAGCGAATAGAGAAAATTTTACCTTTTTTAGCGGTCGGAAGTGGCTCCACCGCGACAGCAGGCGACGATCGACTCCCTTCCTGGCAACTAGCTCTTCTTCTCTGACGGGAGAGGGGGGGAGGGGGGGGGAAGGGGTTGGTCTTGTGGCTAGGGTTAGGGTTTGGTGTGAAGATGAATATTTATATCCATCTCATTTTAATCTGAATCGTCCATCTTATTTGATTTGGACTGTCCGATCGGGTTTAAATAGGAAGTGAATATGAACTATTCATCGCGATTTGATCTAAACCATTCGATCGCATTTAACTAGAAAGTGAATCTGGACCGTTCATCGCGATTTGATTTAGATCGTCCGATCGCGTTTAAATGGAGAACGGATCTGGACCGTCCGTGTGTACAAGAACAAATCCGGACTGTCTGATCGTGGGCACGCAAATTGCCAGCGTGGCCTCTTGCGTGGCACCGCATCAGCGTGCCTTGCCACGCGGCACGATCCGGTTCGTCGAGACTGTTGATTGGGCGTTCTACATGACACAATCTTTTTAAATTGCATTTTGACCTACATATAGAATCGAAATTTTGACTCATTTTTTTCAAAATTGTTTTCAATTTTATCACCTACTTATTTTTATATTAAATAAAAATTTAAAAATTATATTTATATATTAAATTTAAATATATTAAAATTAATTAAGGATGTTACAACTACATATATTAATTAAATTATTGATGTTACTGAAAATTACTAATTATTAAAATTTTATGTGAATGATTTGTTTTGTTTTTTTTTTATTTTTTTTTATGAGCAAAGAAGGAGAAATAAATTGTTTTGAAACAATTTTTATTAATTATTAATAATTCATACATATTTTTAAGTCATTATGGTAATTAATCACTTTTCTTACGTTCAACGACCAACAAGTTGTTAAGTAACAACTTTCGTTAGAAAACATAACGTATTCCTCACCTAAAAAAGCTTATTAAATTATGCGTCTCTGTCCATTTCCAATTTTATGGTTCTTCTCTACTACTCTCCTTAACACAAATCCACCCAACTCCTCTTTTATGTCTTGGGATCATGCAATTTATAACATTTCACAATCAACGTAATTAAATGCCTAATTTAATGAGGAGGTCTAAAGATTAAAAAAAGACACCCACATACATAAACATAAACAGAGAAATAGTAGTTATTCATATTTACTGTTACGACCCACAGTAATTGTAATCTCCTGGGTTTATGATGGAAGGGATGGGGGAGGGGAAGCAAGGCCAGTTTAATGTGAGAATAAACAGGCGTGAAATAAATGTCTTTTTTGCACTAGATTGGGAACCGATATATGTTCTTGCTGTTTATGATGGTCGGGTTTATATTTCGTAAAATCTGTTGTCAATTCGACACATTATTATTTCTATCTATAGTTTGACAAATTCTAGAGCTCTAAAGATTATAATAAATACTACGTAACAGAAACTTATTACATTATTTAGGTGGGTTTTAGTTTGGGACATTTGAAAAATTAAAATCCTGATTTAATAGCTTACTAACTGACATGACACATCATCTACAATCACTAACAGTTTATAAAAATGAGCAAATAGTAAAGTTGCAGAGAATGAGAAATAGATAGTAGAGATTAAGATGATAGGTGATGTGCAAGTTATGACGTGTGTGGTGTCAAACAAAAAATAGGAAAGTAGAGACTGATTTGATGGGGCAAAATTGGAGTGATGTGCTTTTCATGTAATTATTCAAGCACCAACTACCAACAACTAACATACTTTCGGATTTACTTTCCTGTTTTAACCTAATTGCATCTTGACTTGCTTATAACTAATTCTACAATAAAGTTAAAACCTAACTGGTGCTAACAAACAAATCATAATTTTTATTTTTTTAAATAGAAAGCTTTCATATTTATTAGTATTCAAACAATCATCTTCCATATTTTAGCGCACACAAATATTTTGGGGAAGATCTCATTGACAAAAGCTCTAGAATGAGGAACATCATCAGGTTATTCAAGCTCACAGAGTTAGCCCTTACACTGGGCTCACTCTTTTTTCCAAGTTCCTCTTGACCTGAAATTGTTTGTCCATCCAAAATGTTCTTGAGCTGCGCTTGTATGTCTCAACTCTACTCCTTTTGTTTCTTGCTGATAAATGTGATTGACGGATACATGTGATGATGGGCTGTATCTGTATCGGCTCTATTTCTTTATTCGTTTCCGCCTCAAGCTTTTCAACTTTCTGATTGGCGTCTTCTCCTACGTTAAATGTTTGCAGTCTGTTTCTGTTGCTACCCTTCCTCGATTCTAGCGCATATTTTTTCTTGGCGCTAATGAACATTCAAAAGGAGCTATATTGCCTTGGAGATATAGACGGAGCCTAGTAATTCTAACCCAGAAGCCCATGTCTCTCTGTAGATGAAAATATTCCTTCCTAACTGGTCCGAATTTGACATTTTTGCTTGCTTTCCATATGTTGTTTAGTACCTGCTGGATGTTGCTGGCTTCTTCTGCTAGTAGAATTTTGCTCATGCCTACTCATTATACGCGCATATAGATGTATATGTCTTTTACTGTATAATCCCAAATTACGTTAAATATTTCCTGAAGAGAAGAGGTGCAAACAAGGTAAAAATACTGAAGAAGCAAATGCTGTGCCACTTAGTGGCATTGAAAGAATAAATATATTTTCATTCATTCTACAATCCATGTAACATACATTTAACTAATCGTGGAGAAACATAAAAACAACTGCCTCTCATCACTGTTCCAAGTTAGAAGGTGATGCTCTTATTAATCCTTTTTTTTTTTTTAGGCTTTTGCACCACAAAAAATATACAGATTAGAGCAACTTCAAATACTGCTGCTCTGCCGAAAGGTGTTATATATATATATATATATATGTATCCAACTAGTCATTTATTTACCATTCAATCATTAAAGCGTTAGCTAGTCAAGACTTTGAGAATCAAGAATTAGCTTGAAGGGACAGCCGAAAGTTCCAATCTCCCGGTCCATTCCTCTCCTGGCTTCAACGTGATTGATTTCTCAATTGCTGCCCCATCCACACAAATCATTTGCTTGTATTCCTCGTCCCCTAAATCTGCAATTGCCTTTGACTTTTTCTCCCATGGATTCCAAACGGCTGCATCAACTCCAAACAACAATAGTATTTACCATACCAAGTCAATTGCAGTGAAGTTATAATCAACAGAGAAAGTATCGGGGAACATTTACCAAACGCATAGCTCAAAGAGAGTTCTTTCAATCAAGAAAACAATCCAAAAAAAAAATTGTCTTCATAATTTTGTTAAAATCAAAAAACCAAAAACCTTTTGTACAATAAAACAACTTAAACATTGTCTGCAAGTAAGCAGCTTGTAAGATTCTATTAGCATTCAAATAGCATATAGATTGTCAACAAGTAGATATTACAGGTGATAATCATTCAAGTAGTAAGTTCTTTCAAAGCATCATAGGTGAGATATTGGAACGCTCTCCTTCACCATTTCATATCACTTAAAAGAGTGTATTTGAAGCACTGAAACTGAAGGAAAGAATCTTACCAACATCGGGAAGTCCTTCCTTCCGAATGACAAAAGTACGTTTTTTCTCATGATCAAAAATGGCAACATCTCTAGAATTAAGATATACTCGATCTATCTGCAAATTAGAAAGAAAGCACCAAGTCACTGACCTCAAGTTCGGGAAATCTGACACCATTAAGGCCAATTCACATTTCCATTTCCTGGATCTGTTTCTCTGAGAAAACTTGCTATAGGGACATTTTAATTTATCATTCATTACCCAATTTTTGACACAATGGAGGCTGCCTCTTACCTCAGATTCGAAGGTTAAGGCGTCACCTTGTTCTGTGAAGTGCTCCTTTTGCAATAGGTTGTCAAGATAGTCCAGTGTCTCCAAACCCTCAACCCTCACTTCACTGGCACGGCAAATAAATTTTCATTTAACATCCGGACATGATTCACAACCAATAAAAATGCATAAGCTGCTGCCGATGATGACGAGGATGATGAGATCACATTTCAAAAACTTATCATAGAGAAATTAATGTGAGAAGATATGGAATACTGGTCATGATAACTAGGCATATACACACAAACATACTTACTGTAACATGAATGCGAAGCCTCTGGGGGGTAAAATATATACAGTCCTTGTAGATATGATAATATATCTTATCTAAATTATTCATTTTGATGTTTTGTACATTAGACAGTATGCAAACCATAAATAAGATGTCAAAAAATGAAAACAAACACAGGTGCAGATCCTATAATCATGATGAATTTCGAATACCTAATATCAGATATGGAGAAGTAAGTCCGGAACGCAATTGAGAAACTGAAAGGCTTGCAATTGACGTTTCTAATGCGAGCTATCATGGTTAAATTCCCATCTGCTCCCAAAGACACCCTGAGACGGAACTCGTAACTGGAAGGACTAGAAAAATCAGTAGGCAGATTTAACAAGTACAAGCCTAAGTCCACAAGGTAATCTGAGATATAAACAAAATTTCTATCATAGTGAATGCAAAATGTTGAGAAGATAATTAAATTGAAGTGTTGTATTCGTCTCAGATGGACCAGAAAAAATGATTAAGCCTAGTAATTTAGGATAATAGTTTTAAATGTATCAGGGTATAAGATGATATCCACACACACACACACACACACACACACATATAAATACACAAATATACCTATGAGGCCAAATCTTGAGATCGTCTTCAGATGGGCGAAGTAAGAGGTCAATGGAGGGTTTTCCATTGGAATCATTTGGATGCAGGGGTGGTGGATTAGCATCAATGGCCCAGATCTTGTTCCTTGCAAATCCATGCTGCTCTAGTGATTCTCGTTGTCCAAACTTGAAACACATGAGTAGTGAGAAAGAATACACACATATATATACGCATATATATATTATATATATAACACTTATGCATGAATGGAAGTGGTGAGTAGAGCATAAAAATACCTGGGGGAAGCATATGGGAATTCCTCCACGGACGGGATGCGGCGGCTTGAAAACTGCCTAGTGTACATAAAATTGGAATGAAAAGAAAACATAAACACCAGTTTAGAAGCAGAAAATGTTGGGAAAAATGTACAAGAATGAGAGGGTAAAGTTGACCTTAGAACTGGTAAATAACAATTCTTCTCCACGGTCAGTCTTCCATGAAAGAACCTGTCCTCCGTGGAGGCTTACCTGAACCAGAAAGACAATCTCAAGTTGAGAAAACAAAAGTTTGAGTAGAGAGAATAAAATTAAGAAAATTAAATTTAAAAAGGGAAAGAAAAAGAAAAGGAAAGGGATTAAAAAAGAGTGTGAATCTGACCCGAACTGAAGCCCCTCGAGGATTCCTAAGCAGCACCTGATCAATCCCATTTCTATCCTTGGTGATTTGAAATGGTGTTATTTCATCACTGGTCTGATTCATGGTGAACACTGAGCGAGTTTTTTAATTCCAAATAACAACTCTCTCTCTCTCTCTCTATTTGTTTCTTCTCAAAACAAAGATTTGAAGAAGAAGAAGAAGTAGAAGAAGAAAGAAAGAAAGAAAGAAAGAAAGGAAAAGGAGATGAGAGAAAGTTTGGAGTTGAGAGATTTCTTGTGACAAAAATGAAATTTCTCGTGAAAGAAAACTGAGATCCCAACCACCAATTTAACTACCAGTGAAACATATGAACACGTAAACACCGATTCAAAATCACATGAAAATAAAAACATCACAGACTCATGAGGTTTAGCCAGATAGGATTTCTTTCAATTCCACATGTATACATACAAAACAAGTCTGTATACATGTATACTCCACAGAAAGTGGGAAGAAGGGTCAACAGCACCCGTTTGAAGAAACATCAATAGAATTGTCTTAGTTGTGTAATACATAAATATAAATATAAATGACCCTTTCTCTGTTAATACTAATCCAAATCTACAATCCTCATTTAAGAAGTCTTTGGGTTCTTTGAATATAAAAGTCAAAAACAAACATTAATTTAGGGTTGATATAGACGAATAGTCTCCATTATTAACTGAAACCAACTACCCATTGAAGATCTTCATTCTAACTAGTTTTTCTTTTCGCTGTGATCTGATTACTTTCGTTTAGGTGGAATTTTTATTTTTTAATAATTCAAATATAAAAATAACTTGATTAATTTGTTTATATATATATTTATACATAATAAAATGGTAAGGGAGACATCATAATTTTATCTCTACTGCCGACACATGAAATTGTTTTATGAAAAACAAGCTGGCATCTTTGTCTGGGATCTTAATTAAAACTCTATAATCACTTTATATTAAAACAAGTCTTCTTGCCCACTTGAAGTGGGAAAAGATGGTTTAACAAACAAATAATGTTTTCTCTTATTCTTTGAACAAAGATTTTCCCCTTACAGAAACAAAAATTATATATTTGCATCTCCAAACAAAATTAAACCAAAAAAAAAGGTAAGATATTCAATTTTACTCTACAGTCATAATATCTCTACATTTTTTACTGTTCAATTATTATTAAAAAATAATAATAATAATAATTATTATTTAAAAATAAATATTAATATATATCTCTGTATTTTCCTCCACCCCACAAATCTGATTAAGATTTAAGGTTTAATCGAGAGTGAATGACAAGCACTAACTAATTTGGATATGGGAAGAGCACGAATGAGAAATCAAATTTCCAAAAGAGTCAATATACGTTGCTGTCTATCTATCTTTGACATTTGAATCAAATTATCAACTCCAACATTTTCTTGGACCTATTCCTAAATGCTGACCATATCCACACCTACATCCTGCAAAGTTGACTAAAACTACATGCATTTCCACGACACCTTCCTCCCATTCCACATCCCACACTTAAACCAGCCATATTTCCCAAAATACCCAACCCCCACGGCAATTTATATTTATATATATATATATATATATATATATATCCCTCGTACAAGTATGACTAGGTTTTACACACACTCATCATAACACAATATATTAATAAAAATATACAAAAAAAATATATAATTTAACTTAAAACTATAATATCTTATTATAGAGAGGCGTACCAACTCCCCTGTCAAAAACTTTTTTATTCCGAAATTTATTGATTAACATTTAATTTTATATTTATTTTCTTAAATTCTATCAATTAACACATATATGTAATTTTATTAATCAAAACTTAGTTACCATAAATAAGAATTTATCAAATATAAACGAATATATTAAAATAGTAAGGTTCAATATTAAAAATTAATCTATTATAAAAACATATGAAAATGCACCTTCAAGTGAAAAAATGGAGAAAGAAAAAAAAATTCATTGAAATAAAATGAGACATGAATGAATGAAATTTGGTTCAAGACCTAAAAAGATAAAATACCATATTATGCAAATGGGTATGTAAAATGAAGAGTACATATGATGGTAGTAAAGAGATATAAAGTTTAAATAGTAACTCACAAGTAGTTTTAATAAAGTTCAACAATGATACATAAATGTTTTATTAACAATTACTGTTAATTAAGTTATTAATAAATGAATTTAAAGAATACATTTTTATATAGAGAGTTGAGTCAAATAATACATGGAGCAGCATCAAAGATTTGAGAGTTAGGTTCAACCATGTTATGTTTACTAACTCAAGGTGGCATTGTTTGGAGTGAAGCAACACTAATCTCTAGAGTGGTTATTACAATGGCACTTGTTGACTCAAGTTTGCTCCTTAAAAGTAAAGTTGGTAAGTTGGGATAATGTATATACAGACAGGATCTCATCATTATTGGAGATAATAAAGGAGAAAATTTTCAAATTAGAGCCACCATTGCACTTACAGATGAAGTCATTGGTATTCAAGGAGCAGAGAAGATTGTTTGGAGAAAGAGATAGAGAGAGAGAGAGAGAGAGAGAGGAATGATTAAAATAATACATTGTAGAAATCTTTGGCAAAGCTGAATACATTGCTCACATCAGGATATTCCAGAAAAACAAAGTATTTTCAGTATGCTCCCGCAAAAACCTATCAGATCAGCATATCCACACTTCTGAGTCGGTCACAATCAGCTTTCGGCATAAATGAGCATTCAAACTCTTGAGTTCAGGTCACAAGCAGTATTTAGAACCATGCAGGAAAACAATGGCCTTCCTCTATATAAACTGATTGTGTTAATAGTATCTGGCCAAGATAGATCAAACTGTTGCACAAATTGCTCCTGAAATGTTTAGACAAAATTTTAAAAGCTCAATCGTTTTGCTTTTCCTCAATAAACAACTTACTGAATTTTTAGCTATCTGAGGCTCTGAGTCTCAAATTTGAATTTCATGTACTCAGTTTCGGTGTTGTTATTTTTTCCCAATATTTATAAGACGTCAGCCAAGAACAGTTCCATGAAACTGACAAAAATTTGTTATAGCGGAAACAATAATGTGGCTTTAGGGGTTGTCTGATATTGTGGATGATTATCCCATGTTTCATTTACATATAAACTCTTTTACCTTAGTATCATTAAACATCCATGTAGGTCTTTTAAAAGAAGAATAGATGGGAAGAAAGAATTGCCATAGAAATTCCAGAGGAACATTATAAGCGCATGATATAATTATCTTTAGTCAATCTTCTGTGAAAAATCAATTCATGCTTCGTCACTGGAGAGAGAGAGAGAGAGAGAGAGAGAGGTACCAGTTGACAAGGGTGAGCAGCAAAGTTTTCGTTCATCAATATACATAACATCAATCCCAATAAACCACGATCCAGCACTAACGTCATCGTGGGCATATGTACGAAGCATAGACCTGCAAACATGCATGATAGTCAAATAGCCTAGCTGATCATTTTCAGATGTTAGATATGTTATAATACCAGAATGTTTCTTTTTTAGGGTTGGAACAAGATGAATGCACCTGTTAATTGAAATAAACTGTGCCAGAGCATGTGAAATAACATATATTTCTCCTGAAGCATGGCGAAAGTATCTGCAACATATAGGAATTCACTTAAAACATAAATGAACCACTTGCAGCAGCAGAAGCATCACCACATCAGAATATCACGAGTGCTAAGAATATATGAATAAATGTTTAATGTGATTTTGTTGTCATATACAATGAAAAGAATTCTTAAAATCCAACAGAATCACAAGAAAACGTTAAGGCCTTTTGAGAGGGTAGAAGAGAGGAAAGAATGAGGTTATTTGGTCTCCTTATTCCCAGAAGCAAATGTTAGTTGGAGGATTGATAAAGATAAAAGTATCTCAACAAGGTAGACAAAAATTTTTCTGTAATGACTAAATTACTCTAATTACTTTTCTCCCCTACCCTTTCCACTCCCAAATTGACACTAAAACACAGTGAAATATTCCTCATCCTATAGAACTGCTAAATTTGTGCCATAACCACATCATTGTGCCCTTCTATTAGCATGATTTCCTACATGTTTGAATTATTTTCTTCTCTATATTTCATAATGTTTCTTCTTTTGAAAACCTCAATATTTATTGAATTAGCAGACCTGACCGCTTTTAACTGACACTTGAAACTACAGTGAAGTTGGCAGATGAAATATTACAACAGACATGATAACCAGAAAAACAATTAAAACAAATATGATAAGCAGAAAAGGAAACTCCTAAGGGAACAATAGTGCTTGAAACTGAAACCAAACGAAAGCAGTGATTTTTGAACATGCAAAACAACTCAAGTTACTAGAAATATCATCATTAAAAACTGAAAGAAAATCAGCATCTCAAAATCTTGGCTACATCTTACACTTGCTTGATACAAATATAAATAAAAGCATGACAGATTTTTGCTCTGTTGATACAAGGAAAAATAAAAAACTTTGACAACTCACGATTTTCCATCTCCAAAATTCCACCAGTCTGGTTCATACCATTTGTCGGTCCTGTAATAGTGATTAGAATAAAGTATACAAGGAAAATTGTAACAAAACATTATTTCATCTCCCTGAGATTTCATCATCAGATGCAAAAAATACAATTAAACTCACGGTTGAGAGAAAACCTCGCCAGATTTCATGCACCCAATATAAACTTGAGGCTTATCAAAATGAGTGGAGAGCATTGCTCCTAGGCCATCTGTATAAAAAAGTAAAATTGTTATGACGTCAAAGAGCTGCAAGTGGTTCCTTTAGTTTTATAACATTCAAAATTTCCAATATAACCCTAAGTATTATTTTCCCCTATTTTCATAAAATAAGAAATCTTGACTTCATGGGATTCAGTAAACAATAGGACTCTAAAGCAAAATAAACTGTTCTTCCTCTTCCCTGAGTTTGTTTGTTTTCAATCTTCAGTGAGAATAGGGGGAGGGAATAATGGAGACACTATTTTCTCTTCGAAGTAATTATATGTTTAGGCAATTAGTTATGATAGAAGCCCCTCTTTCTCCTAAAAAGTTGAAAATAATCAACAACTTAAAAATATTCAATCAAGCCTGGAAGTTCATTAATGTCCATCAAGCTCCTCTGTAGGCCAAACAAAATAACCTAACATTAATTTCCAGGCCAACAAAAGGCATGCAGAAATATGGAAAGGCCACAAGTTAAGGGTTGCTAGAGGGTCAAATTAATATACTACCGGATCTATGTGGGGCAAAAAAGCAGGATGCTTAAGTTGTTTCTGATTTCCTCATATGGATACTTTCACTTTCACAATGATATATTGCTTTTTTACCTGAGTGAACTTATTCATGTTACATACCAATATTAATATAAACATCATCGTTGACCTTAGCATAAAACTCAGCATCCCAATTCTCTACAGCATGGATGAAGAACAGTTTTGACTTTTTTGGATGTTGCTCAGGTGCTTCCACATGATCATCCTGTTGAGGCACAAAAAAGAAAAGATGTGCTATAATTTGTTCTATTATATGTAATCTAAAATCAACAAGATGTGCACTGGCAGCTCGTGGATTATTATATGGTATGAAAACTATAGAATGTCCAGAAAAATATACATTAGAACATACATATACAGATAAATCAAAAGAGTGGCTCCCAATGTTAGCCTAGGAGCCTGGATTGATATGGGACCATCTGGCATTGTTCTTATAAATATAGGAGTACTACCATGATTATTATACTTATTATATTTTAGCAAGTTTTTTCCTTACACTTTGTTAATGCTTTAGTTCTTATTTAGTTAGAAGTCTTATTTTGTTACTATTTTCTTATTTAAGAATTCTAGTCATATTGAGTTATGTAAACATAAAGAAACATGGGTGTTTTTATGAATAAAATTATTGATTTCATCTTACTGATTTGAGTGCCTAACAATATGGTGATTGTGGTTGTGACAACTTGGTAATTATGGTTGTTGTCAATCTTTGTGACGTGGATTGGGTTTTTTATCTTTCATATTTTTTTTGGAATTTTTCTGCTTCTAAATCCTAATCTGATTTGCTACGTCATTTTGGTGCCGGAGGTAAGATTTGTGATTTTGTTATTACATATCACTAATCTCCCAAATCATTGAAGCCTTAAAACCTTAAATCAAGCAGCAGACACAAAAAAAACGCAGGAGAGAGGAACACAGCCTGCAAGAATTGGTGTTTACTTAGTTACTGGAAAGCCTGAGCAGTACGTGTCATGCCCCAGCCATCAAGCTCAGAAAAGTTCAGCCAGCAAAAACACTTAAACCTAGCTTGTGAAGTTGCTGGAGTAAGTGCCACTCACCAGCAACAACTTAGAATCACTGCTTCCTTGCTGGAATCAGCTCTTCCTAGTCACATCGATGGACAATGACACTAGACTCAGAACTAGCACCACGAGATGCAACTTTCCCAGAAGCCCAATGTCCAAAGGTCACAGGAGATGGATCCATGGACTGCATGCACGTGTGTCTGTAGTGTGACTTCTCTGTTTGACCAGTTCATACAGACTTGACAAGATCAGTTTGACCAGCCTGGCTCAGCCCCCTCCAGACCTGTTCTTGATCAATTGACATTGATCCCCAAGGTTTTTGAATGCACCCTTCCTGTTTTTGAGGTCCTACTTGGCAGATTTACACTCCGTAGTCTGTTTCTGATCTGTTTAACACTTTTTAGGTAAAGTCATGAGGTTTTTTGTGTCTGAAAGTCTGGGCCTTCTATTTCTTAACATCATTATATTTTTCTGATCTGTTTAGCCTTTCTGTTTAGTTGGGGGAAAAAACAACACCAACAAAAAACCAGTCTTTTCAGAATTTAGCTACTTGTTTCATTTCTAATTAGTCATGGACCCCCATTTCCCTTAATCACACTTGTTCTTATTCTATTGCTACCCATGCATGAAATAAGCGTTGATAAGTAAATTATTTGACCTTAGGCTGTTCATCATAGTAGTTGTTAGTTTGCAATACTTTCTTGATTTATATGATCTAGTATTGCTCTCCTATTTCTTTCTACTCCCAACATGACTAATCCATTGGAAAATCAATGTAACCTTGGCCCATGTGTAGAAATATAAAAAAATTCACATGGTTGTCAGCCCAAAGATGCTTTACAAGGGTGGTAACTGTAGTATGAATATTCACCAGCATAGTCCAGCCAACGATCCTAAGTTAGCATATATATGCCCAGTTTAGAAAAGGTTGAACTCCATGAGAGGCATGAATTCAGGAATCCTAATCCCAACCCTCACTATGAGTAGAATGGGATAACAATAGGCATGTGTATACCTGAAGTCTTGGACCTGAAGCAATTAAAGAGGCCAATCCTCGTGTTATGAGTTTTTATTTTAAGTCAGTGGGAGCTGAAAAATCAATAAGCAATGACATCCTCCAAGACTCCCTTTAGGGCCACGATAACAGATGTAAGTTTTTTTTTTTTTGAAATAAAAGTGAAGTTTATTATGTACAAGATACCAAAAGGGTACCACTCATACACAAAATAGTTACAAATCTATCGGTCGATGACCGCACCCATATCATTTAGGTCTTTAATATCATGACCCAACAAGATAGATCCAAAAGTATGTATTCATTTATCCCTAATGTTACCAAAGTTAGTCTCAACCGCTACAAAAACTCTAATATTTATTTTTTTCCAGATCACCCAAAAAATAGTAAGTGGTTGGAATAAGAAATAAATGTCTGCCCTTTTCTTTACACAACCCTTCCCAAGCCTAAAGTTCATTACTTACACTGCCCGTCATAACCCAATCCACCCCAATAAGCCTCAAAACAGAAGACCAAATGCTGTAAGTGACAGGGCAGCCCAATAACAAGTGGTAACAGGTCTTCTCATCGGCTTTGCATAAGAAGCACATGTTAATCAGCACATTCCCTCTTCTTCTAAGCATGTCAATGGTTAAAATCCTCTCTTCAACCGCTTCCCAAGCAAAAAATCCAATTTTGAGTTGTGCTTTAGATTTCCATATTCGTATGAAGGGGGCAAAATGGGTGTTGTTGTTTTCACTCTTGGAAATGAATTTATAGTATGACTTAACAGAGAAGCCCCTCTTTTTGTCTAACTTCCAAATTCTTTTATCCTTATT